ATGCGTGTATATATTTTTATAGACGGTATAGTTTGTAACTTTATGCTTTTTGCGAGTGTTTTCGTTTTAATGTTTAACGACTCGTTGTTGCTTCACGCAAAACACGAGCCCCGAAACACGGGGCGAGATCTACCACTGTCTCGTGCATCGCGTTCCGCCCGTGTACGCGTCGAGCTATTCCATTTGCGTGGATGACTCGGATGGAGAAAAACACCCGGGAGTGTCATGGAAGTTGACCGGAGGCGGCGGCAAATGCGGCCATAAAGCGCGTCTTCGTTGTTCGTGAAAAATGAGAAGAAGGAGATTAAAATATCCGAAGAGAGGTGAAAGGAGATACAGCCCTTCCGCGCGGTGTCCATGACCCGAGATCTTTCGCCACGAATTTAACTGGAAATTCGTAAACTTAAATAATTATAATTTTTTACGGCAGTCCGACTCCGTTGTCTTTCACGTGAAAGGTCACGAGACTGACGTAAGCTCGAGGGAGTAAATTCTGTAGCGTGAGTGAATTTTTTCCTTCTTTTATTCAAGCTCTCGCTTGTATCAGCTCCCTTTGCTCCCTTCAGTGTCGTCGCTCTGAATTTTTGCCGAACAGTCGGGGAACAGAAAATTAGCGCCTCGACATCGCGGTCAAGGGAACCTCGAGTCGGTGTCGTTGTAAAAAGATCTCTCATCGGGATCAAAGAAACCGGGGTTTGCGGTGATGCTGAAACGGGACGAGCGCGTTTGTGCCCTCGAACTGCGAACATGGGGAGGGCAACGTCGAAGGGGGATGAAGGATGAGAGCGAAAACCACGACACAGGCGCAAAACCGGGACCGATCATCCCTTTCGAGACGCATGCCGTTGCCGGTCGCTCGCGCGCGTATCGTTAATTAAAATCTGTCGTCGGCGACGCGGATGCTGCGAGAACGCGCTGACGCGACAATGGACGGGGTGGGGAACGGGGGTGAAAAATCGCGCTAACGAGACGGCTTTCGTTATTGGCTCCACGACGCCATACAAAGAACTGTATCGTTATCATCAGAGAGGGAAAAAAGGAAAAGGGAATGAAAGAGAGAGATGGAGAAAGGGGGAAGATCGTTGCCTGTCTTTCGCACGATGCTTCGTTTTTAAAAGCTGTATCGACGTGTCATTTAGCCATGGGGACGTTTCCCTATAACGGCATCTCTTTCTCT